AGCTTGAACTTGCAACCCTCCTGTCTCAACTTCCAAAGTTACTGCTTGAGGAAAATGCTCAAACTGTCAGCAGCTATTCCTGAAAACCTCCTCCATGAGTTTCAGGACAGAACATTTGCTAAGATCTTTATTTTTCAAAATAGCATGCTAATTCTTGTCTTAAATTGGTTTTCAAAGTATATACATCTACATTTAGTGTAGCATACACTGCAAATATGTATTAAAAAAAATAGTAACTCTGATTATTCTAGGTCCTAGGTCCTTTGCATGTCCTTACAAATTTTAAAATCAGCTCATTTTCTTAAAAGCCTGCTAGAATATAGATTGCAATTGTATTGAATCTATAGAGTGATTTGGGAAGAACAAATACCTAAATAAATAACACTATCTTCCAACTCACAGTATTTACGTAGGTCTTCTTTAATTGTTCTCAGCAATTTTTTATAGTTTTCAACACACAGATCTTACATATTTTTGTCAAATTATCCCTAAGCATTTCATATTCTTTATGTTGTGATAATTTTGAATTGCAATTTCCAACTGTTTGTTGCTAGTATCTAGAAATACAACTAATTTTTGTATATAGATTGTCTTGCTAGCCTCTTTTATTAAAGTTCTAGTAGTGTTTTTTATAAAGTCAAGCAAAGTATTACTGCATACCAATCAGAATAGCTAAAATTCAGAAGACTATAACAAATATTGGCAAGGTTGTCAGCGTAGTGCAATTTAGGAATATAAATATCACAACTACTTAAAAAATTGGTAATTCCCTAAAAAGTTAAAAAGATACCTCCTGTGTGATGGAGACACTCCACTTCTATGTATTTATTCAAGAGAAACAAAAGGATACAAATGCTTGTACATGAAGTTTCATAACACTTGATCTATAAATATCCCAAAACTAGAAATAACCCAAATATCCATCAACAGATAAACAACTGTGATATATCAACAGAAAACTAGTTTGCAATAAAAATACATAAATCCCCTATTGATAGATACATTATTGAATTTCCAAATAAGTTAACTGAAAGAAGCTTGACAAAAACACAAAGCACAGGCAGCCATATATATACAATTCTTTATGGTAGAAATTAATCTATAGTGATGGAAAGTAGATCAGTAAATGCCTGGGGAGGGATTACCAAAGCACAGGAAGAAACTTTGGAGAGTGATAGTTAAGTTTGCCATCTTGTTATCGGTGATGCTGCATGTCAAAATTAAGTTATGTATTTTCAATAAATCATTTTGTTATGTGTCATTTAAACCTCAGTGAAGGAAAGGAAAAGAAACAAAACCAATGTAACTGTCACTAGGAATCCAGAATATATGTTTTAAATAGATACAGGTTGAATATAACTTATTGAAAATGCTTGGGACCAGAAATGTTTTAGGTTCAGGATTTTAGAATATTTACATATACATAATGAATCATCTTAGAGATGGAACTGAAATCTAATTGAGGTAGGAAAGGACAACTGGGGAAAACTGGTTAAACAAGTGGACAAAATTTGCCCAAATCATGGAAACCCAAGGCACGTGCACAGAACAGAGGATCTAGGATGACTCTGCAGCTCCTGAGCACTGTACCCAGAACCAATCAGACACGTGCGATTTTCAGTCTTCATTTACTTCATGACATCATGTCAGTATTCAAAAGGTTTCAAATTCTGAAGCATTAGGAACTTGGTTTTCAGATTAAGGGGGTTCAACCCGCACATGATTTATACAATATTAAATCCACCCTTTCAACGTAAACTATTCAGAGGCTTTTAGTATACAGTACTGACAAGGTTGTACAATAGTTGCCACTAATGCCAGAACATTTGTATTATCCCAAAAAAGAAATCTGTACCCACTACCAACCAATCCACTTTTCCTCAATTGTGAATATAATATCCATATGATGACCTATCTCACCTGGTCATGACAATTTAATAAAGCCTTAAAACCTTTCAAGTTTGACAGGTTGCTTTTAACTTAATTTTAAGGGCTTATGTCACAAGCACTATTATAGTCTTCATTTTATGCAAATTATTAGTTGCTAGGCAAGAACTTTTAGGGGTAAGCATCTAGGCTTGCTTACAGAATGAAGAAGCTGCTGCCTTTTTAAATGACTGTTAATATCCCCTTAAATTCTTTGTTTCTGGTAAGTCCCTCCCAGAAAACCATTAGGGACCAGTTTAAACCAGCCAAAATCATAGTCATTTCTCTAGGTGACCAAAAGTAAACACTGCTCCTTATAATTTCATTACATTGTCTATACGAGGTGTTCCCAGCCACTATTTTAATATGTGATGTATGATGAAGCATGATTTTGCTACTCATACTGTAATCCCAGGACTCCAGAAGCCCTGGGCAGAAGAATCACAAGTTGAGGCCCAGCCTATGCAACCTAGCATTGCTGGCGATGCAGCTCAGTTTGAAAGGCTCTGGGTTGGGGGCGTGCAAAAGGAGCATGCTCCGGAATGTGCCCATGTCTGCATGTGAAGACAAGTCTTTCCAATATGAATGTACATAGATAGATCTTCCCAATAAAATCTCCTTGCCTCTTATGTTCCAGGAGACTGTTTTGGGAGTTATCCTTAGTCCTCTCCTTACTTGCTACAAGTAATGAACCCTTTTTCACTCTTTATCTCCTGGTTGTACTTACTGGTTTACACTAACCAAGGGTAAATCCATTGTGTTCAGTTACATAATGAAAACCAGGACCACGCTGATGTAGACTGATAATTTTAGAGATGTTCCAATCATAGAAATGCCATTTAGTGCACATACTGAAGTGTGATAAATCACTGAAAGTCATTATTAAGATATTAATTCCAAAACGAGAAAATGTATTTTCCTTCTGGCTCTTCATTATTTTTCAAAGTCTGTCTTGGACAAGACTGAACTGTAACAGTAAAGAATTAATGATGCTTTTGAAAATACCACATAATCTGTATCACTTTAAAAACTTTAATACATCCTCTTCAAGATAATTCCACCATGTTTTCTCAACAACTTTTTAACATTTAACTATTTATAAAAGTTCAGGGAGCACACCCATAATCCCAGTACTTGGGAGACTGAGGGAAGAGGAACAAAAGTTTGAGCCCAGCCTAGGCAATTTAGCAATTTATCGAGACCCTGTATTAAAATTTTTTTTAAAAAGGCTGAGGACATAGCTCAATATGAAGGCCCTGGGTTCAATACCCAGTACCACATCAAAAACAAAACAAAAAAGTCCAGGTAAAATTTGGAAGGATAATGTGTTCAAACAAGACACGATCATGTGTTTCAGAGGATCTGTGCATGCTAAAAGTCGTAACAGAAAATGTCATTATTTTTAATATGAAGGGCTATCAAGGATAATAAACATATAATAAATCTTAGAATAATTTATAGCTATGCAAAACACAGATTATTTTTGGAACACAGAAATTAAGCATGACAGAGTCAAACTTTAGGGTAGGGGATATAGCTCAGCAGTACAGCATCTGCCTGGCAAGTGCAAGGTCCTGAGTTCGATTCCTGGTACAAAAGAAAAGACACCCTAGAGTCAAACTACAGCAGCTGATACTAGGATTTTCACCCTATGTTTAGAGTACACTGTGAAAACATTCAATCTTTAATCACTCCTTTAAAAATTAACTTTTAATATGATAGATTCCCAGCATTCTAAATAGAAGTTAGATATATTCCCAACAATGAGCCTAAGCAAAGCCTGTATTTGAACATAATACAACTGAAATGTTACTGAAGAATGATTTGTGAAGGCTATTACATTTCTTTGATCAGTAAAAATACAGCATTAGCATTATATGACTAAGGGAAATATCAAAGACAAAATGCTGAAAGAACATGAAATGAATCTTTTTCTTTTGTTATTTTGGCATAACTAGAGTAATTTCAAAACACCACTAAGAGTAAGCAGGTTCTTGATATTTGACATGTGTAAAATCAAAGATCTTCCGAACTTACCAAAGTACAAATACTACTGAACAAATCCACTCCAGCAAAATTTAGTGGTACACAAATAAAAGAAGAAAACCACAAAGCCTCATTAAAATACAAGTATTAGGCATTTCTATGCATACTTACTAGCTACTCAAAACTTTCCTTGAAAAATTATAAATTACTACATCATGGACCCCGTCAGCTTATTAACAGACAAAACCATGAACACTACACTGTTGAAATGTCAAGGGGTATACTCTAAATGTCTGAGCAAACACTGAATAAATAAAGAAATGAAAAGAATCTAGGCTTAACATCACATAATATTTGTCAACTAAAAACCATCACTTTTTCTGGATATTTCCCCTTTTAAAAAATTAAAAGATTTGAGGGGCTGGGGATTTAGCTCAGCGGCAAAGCGCCTGCCTGGCAAGCGCAAGGTCATGAGTTCGGTTCCCGGTACCAGAGAAAAACCAAAAACAAAAAAAAATTAAAAGATTTGAATACCTACGCATGTATGTTTCAAACAGCTCTATCTATAGTCACAAAAACTAGAAAAGAAAGTGCTTCAGCCAGTCAATAAACTACCCACAGTACAACCACAGAAAGAAATTCTAACAAATAACAAGTAACCAACTATTTACTGGTCCACTCACCAATTTGGATAAATAAAAAGGTATTTTGCTGAATTCAATCCAGCCAGCCTCAAAAGATCATGCACTGTATGATTTCATTTTTGTGATAGTCTTTAAAAGGCAAAGCTACAATGTTAAAGACCACCGGCTGCCAGGACTAGGGGCAGGTGTTAGACGTGATCAAAAAGGGATGAGATGTATGTGAAAAAAAGGGGTCAATTTTATTGTGTTAATTTTAAAAGTAAATAGCATTTCCAAGAAACCAATTAAGTTTACCCATTCTGAAAAGTATAACAATGTTGTACACAGCCAATTTTTAAAAATTTGTTCAGTAATATTTGTTGATGGCAATAACAAAAGCCAACCAATCAAGTGACTGAAAAATCTTCAAACGCCTACTAGCTATTTAATCCAAAAAGGACTTACCAAGTTCATTGAGACTCTGAGCTGCTTTTGTTATCTCTCTACTTCCTCCTTGCAATTGTCCTTGGAGTCTCTTACTGAGATACAAGATGCGAATAATCCTCCGAAGCAAATCACAGGCAACCTGTGCAAGTATCACAATGTCAAGTACAGCTGACCCAGCAAGTTTCATCATTACTACTGTTAATATATGATCTTTTCCATTCTTTACAACCGCTGAAGATTCACTTATGCCTCTTCTGTTTCCCACCAATCAGAAACTTGAATAATCACAAGTCTTAAAAAGTATCAAGGGCAGGGGATATAGCTGAGTGGCACAAATGCCTACCTGGCAAGTACAAGGTCCTAAGTTCAATTCACAGTACCAAAAAAAAGTATCAAATTTCCTAGGGCCATCCAACTGTACCATATTTACCCCATACAGTAACATCCCATTTATCACATGTGGAGAGAATCAGGAATGGAGACACTATGAAACCCAGATTCTTTTCAGTTCTGGGCCAGTTATCTGTCTAATGGTCCTCAGTCATGACTATATGTTAAGTTCAAGTGGATTAGGTTCAGTGAGTTCCAATGCCCAGGTCATAGCCCTGACCAATTAAATCAGAACCTCAATTCCCCAGGTGAGGCCACAGTTGACAGCCACTGTGCTAGGCTTCCTACTGCTCTCTCCAATCCTATTTCTCTCTTCTAGGTACCCAGAGGAAGAGTTGTACACTTCTCCCAATTTCACCAGTCCTTAAGAAATAACCATGCCCCACTTGAGTCTTCCTAATGGTTTTTATCATTAATAAATTATAAAAGAGAAAGTTATTAAAATAAAACCAAAAACATTATCCCACATACTGTCCTATAATCTCCGTTTCACTTTTCTTTCCAACATCTAATCTGAGGCCTCACCAAGCCAATGGCTAGGAAATAAAGATTCACATATGTCAGAGCACTTTACTAGAAAGCTGGCACCCAAGTTGTTGCCTTGGAAAGAGTGAGTAGAAGGAGCAGAGTAACCAATATATAGTGATCTTTACTCTCAGTAGTGATAACAAAGGAAAGAAAAAGAGTTTGTGCTATTATTGCATCACTATTGGGGAGTGATTTATTAGTGCACTTGTGTAGTATGTGCTGTTTACAATCCTTGTGGAAATCCTTGGTACATACACATACTACATCTTAATTCCTTTTCACATTCCCTATCCCTTCCCTCCCCTCCTCCACCCATGCATCACCACTTTTGAATGGCCCCAAGGCAAGATGAAAAGCAAGTATATCTTCCCATCTAAATAAGACTACCCTAAATGATGGCAATGAGTATTAAAAGTCTCAGGAAGACAGGGTCTTGGAGCCTCTAGCTGTAAGTACTTATATGAGAAAATGCATAACACAGAAGAGCCAGATACAGCCACACTCATGGACCCATAAACCACAACACATGTACACACATACAAACAATGTCTACCAGCATATGTAAGTCACAGGCACTAAGTATTAAACATGTTTACTTGACTCCTTTTCAAAGTAAATATAAGGTAATTAAAATAATAAAAGAATGCCAAATAAGAATTTCTCCCTGAAAATTAAAGTTTAGGCACATTTTTAAATTAAGTATTATTTGTTTTCTGAATAGGTAACATAAACACAATTTAAAATTCAAGGCATTAAATTGAAAAGTCATCCTCATCCCTCTACTTTCCAACTACACAGTTAACAGAAACTATTACCATCAGTTTCCTTCTTGTCAGAACTAATGATGAAGAATCTGGAATGTAGAGTCTTTAGCAACCATTTGTGAGATTCTAAACACGTTATGAGGAAAACTCTCAAACATTACAGTAAATCAGCTAGAACTATTCTAGAATTCCTCAGTCCTACCCAATAAAATGAGAGCCCTCAACCAGGAAATCTCTGAGTTCATGTCTAATGTTTTTAACAATCATGCCTTAATGACTATTGCATAATCCAATCCCTTGTTGTTTTACCTTTAGTCTTCCAAACATCACTCTAAGTTAAAATCTTATCACTTTCACCTAACAGTGGTATCATGGCCAGATTTCCACACACTGTCAGATTTTACCTTCTTAAAAAGTTTTCAGCACACCACCTGTCTTATTAACAAACTTTAGTATTTCTCCTTACAGGTTCTGTTAACTGTTCTGAGAAGAGCGTTTAATGAAATCCTCAAGCAAGTCTTAGCTAATCTATGTCATCAGCTCTCATCATTTTCCAATATAGTTGGCTCCCCTCTAATCAACTTTTCCTTGTTTTTAGGCTTTCATTATTAAATTACAGAAACAGAGAAAACCACATTCAGAGATATACAGCTCCATGAACTTGGAACCACCACAAAGAGGAGACAGAACTGTACCAGCCACCACACAAATCTCCGTGCATTCCCTCCCCAACCCCACCCAAGAGAAACCACTACTCTCCCTTATATTGTAAGCACTTCATTTTTATTTATGATTTTACTACAGAAGTATATAAACTTTAGCATTACAGTTTCATTTTGTCCTTCTTTATTCTGTACATTTCCTCACCAGCTTTTCTTTGAAATTTGTTACATACAGTGACTCATCTGTCCTGTAAGAGTTTCCATCAAATTTGACTTTGTTGTCTGTACTCCCCACAGTTCATTTAACAAGTTTCTACATCTTCTTACAGCTGGTATATCAGCAGTAGGATGTAGGCAGCATCATCAGATTTATATTTAATATTTTTGGCAAAATTAATCATTAGGTGGTGGTATATTTATAACACATGCATGATTTTCTTTTCATGTTATTAGCAACCCTTGATAATAAATGTCAAAATTCATTAAAACCTAAGTAAAATGGTAATTCTGCCATTCTACTGCTTCATCTTCATTTATTTGCTAACACATAAAATTTCCCCATAAATCAAATTTTACCTGATCTCCTATTTGTTTATCCTCAGAGGTACCATTCACATGGAAAGTAAAAATAATATTTGATCTTCCTCTTGGTTTAAAAGTTTCCTAATGTCCACTAATGATGAACAATTAGTGGCATTTTGTTATTGTTTTGAGCTTTTCTCCCCATCGTTATAAACTCATCAATTTAAACAAAATGAGGAATGTCAGTAAGCTGTAGCCGTTATGCTTACTCATGCTCAAATTATCCCATTTTGGCTCGTGGGAGCCTCTGAGTGATCAACCGTATCACTGCCTGAAACAGATTTCTCATCATTCACAACTTTCAGGGATAAAAGAGAGTTGGTCACTTTCAAAGGACACATTGAAATCAGTTCAGTTCCTTAGCCCCTTTGTTGAAGAACTGATAGTCATTGGTGTCTTCCTTAGTATCTGGTATAAAAATGTTTAGATATTTCTTTATCCATTCCTCAGTGGATGGGCATTTGGGTTGCTTCCATGATTTGGCTATTACAATTGTGCTGCTATAAACATGGGTGCACATATATCGCTGTGATAAGATGTTTTTAGTTCTTCTGGGAAAATACCCAGAAGGGAAATAGCTGGATTGAATGGAACCTCTAGCCCTAGTTTACTGAGAAATCTCCAAACTGATTTCCACAGCGGTTTTACCAGTCTGCATTCCCACCAGCAGTGGAATAGGGTTCCTTTTTCTCCACAGCTTCACTAGTATTTGTTATTGGTTGATTTCTTAATGCTAGCCATTCTTACTTGGGTGAAATGGAATCTCACTGTTGTTTTAATTCGCATTTCACGAATGACTAATAATGTTGAATATTTTCTCATGTATTTATTTGCCATTTTGACACAACTAGAGACCACACTCATAAGTGACAGAAATTAGACCTGCATGTGTAAACTCTGTATTGTCTCACTAGTGTAAGAACCTGAAAGAGTGAATAAAATCTAGGAGGTACAATAAATATTGTGAAAGGAAACGTTTCAAGAGGGAAGAACAACTGGGATGAGCAAAAGAGAAAAGAAAAAAGGGGAAAAAAAATGTATGTATATATACATAGGATAGCTAACATAGTTGTACTAGTGACTTTTATTGCTCTCCTGAAAGGAACAGTTAATGTTTAAGTGTATGATCAATCCTACATGTCTATATTTGTTTATCTGAGTAACCAAATTGAAGATATCAATATGTAATACAACAACCATTGTTAATTTCCTGTCACCTTGTCTGAGATTTTGATTTGTTTTTGTTATTTTCTAAATGTATGTGTGCTTATTCAGATGTTTTCATTCTTTTATCTTTAAAATTAAAAAAAATTTTTTTAAAGATATTTCATGCATCAGAAATAAAATCAAAGATTTCTCAAAAGGGCTCTGGTTTCTTTTGGGAGGGAAAAGTACTTCAAGATCACATTCTGGTAACCAGCTTTCTTCATTTCTGGGATTTTTCCATAGACACAGCTAAGAAATGTCACAATTCATTAAAACACAGCATAAATATTCATTTGCTTTATTCTATAATACACATAAAACATTCTCAGATTAACCTATTGTACATATACATATGTACATATATATAGTTTATACTATGTTCAAATAAAATTAATGTATTTCAAGTTGATACAGGTATGCCCAGTTAACAATAAAGGGCACCAGTGTTTAACCTTTTACCTTACACCTATATATCATTTCTTCTACATTATCTTGAAGACGTAAGAGATAATAGAACTAGAATAATAGGAAACAATTCATTTGCTTTGCTGTACAATACACAGAAAACATCTAACAAAACCAACATTACAATAAAAAAACGAATGCTGGAAATAGCTTAAAAATCACTTTGTATAGGCTTGCACCACATTTTTTTACAGTTGAAATTTATTTCTTTGTGAAAACAGTCATCACACACTTCATAGCCCTCATTTAATCCCAGTTCTAATGCTCACCACAAACTTTTTTTCATCACAAACTTTTAAATTGGTATTTCTCCAGTTATATTGTTTGGGCAAAGTACACTGTCTATCACATTCCAAAGGAAAAGTTCATTAGAACATTCACTGTATTCATCTATGTTTACAGAAGTCTCTATACCTGAAAATGTCTGGATGATAGTATCAATTATATTACAATAATTGCTGCATAGGAAATCAGCACAAAACAGCTGAAAATGATTATTTCATACTATGTATGCCAAGAAGTTAGGGAAGGTTCAAATGGTC